CAATCGCGCCCCCCCCCCCCCCCCCCCGGCAGTCTTTTCTATCTCTTGCGTACTCGGTCTTGGTTCTGCATGCCCACTGTGTCAACCATGAGGATCTCCCACCATCCCTGCTAGTGTTTGTATTATGGAGCATGCAGCGTTATGAACACCCGGACCTCCATGGTGGATGAGAACAAAGCCAGAACCTATTGGAGTTCCTGAGAGAGATCAGAAAGCTGCAGAGTGATTCAGCCCATCGGACTCTTCCTATAAATCAAACATCACTTTGGGCCGAGCGAACCCTTTAATGGCCGCTGCTGTATTACCATAAATTTCTGCTGCTGGAAACCTCATCCCAGTTCCGTGTAGTCACATATCTGTCCTGAGGCCAAGATGGCTTCACCTTGGCTGCTATCTCTGCATTCTTTCCCTTCTTACTGGAAATTTGGAGCCGTGCAGTCATGTTGCTCTACTACAGGAAATGCTGTCTGATGAACTGTCATGGCTGCCACCTCTGCTTTCAACAATGAAAGCTTCTTATGTGTGAAACTAGTACTACTATAATGTGGCCTTCTTGGGAACCCCTCCATCAATGAAAGCCTCTTATGTATGAAACTAGTACTACTATAATGTGGCCTTCTTGGGAACCCCTCCATCAATGAAAGCCTCTTATGTGTGAAACTAGTACTACTGTAATGTGGGCTTCTTGGGGACCCCTTCATCAATGAAAGCTTCTTATGTGTGAAACTAGTACTACTATAATGTGGGCTTCTTGGGAACCCCTCCATCAATGAAAGCCTCTTATGTATGAGACTACTATAATGTGGGCTTCTTGGGAACCCCTCCATCAATGAAAGCCTCTTATGTATGAAACTACTATAATGTGGCCTTCTTGGGAACCCCTCCATCAATGAAAGCCTCTTATGTGTGAAACTAGTACTACTATAATGTGGGCTTCTTGGGGACCCCTCCATCAATGAAAGCCTCTTATGTGTGAAACTAGTACTACTATAATGTGGGCTTCTTGGGGACCCCTTCATCAATGAAAGCCTCTTATGTATGAAACTACTATAATATAGCCTTCTTTGGAACCCCTCTGTCAATGGCAGAAGCAGACGGCCTTCCAGTGAGGGAAGTCTTAATGTTCCTGTTGCAGGATTTTGGGACAATTGGATATTGGCTCAAAGTTTCTGTCCCAGACAAACTCCCCCCTCCAATAGGACAAAGGAGGACTTTCCTGAGCTGCAGACTAATTTAAGGTCTATTACTAAGAGAGGTTTTGAAGCCAGACGGTTAGCATTTTCAGCAGCAGATCAGCAATGGCAGCCCCTTTTTAGTTGTGTCATGACAGGTTCACTTCAGGGCTGACTGCTGGCCCCGTGGGGTCTACAGTGGTGTCTGCTGGAGGACCTCGTGTTCCATGGATACCAGGGCTCTTCAACATTCAACATTTTTGCACTGGTAGTGTTGATAGCTGGCCTGCTAACTCTATAAATGAAGGTTGGGACCAATAGCAAGGTAAGATACAGTAGGGGGCGGGGCAAATGTTGACCCCTCCTGGAAGTCAAAATTTGTATGCTGGCCCCAATGCATATCTCCACTGAAGTCCTTCAGCCCGTTTGGTACCATTTATGGTAATGGAAGACTTACTGTAAGGACCAATGTGAAATGGAGAGTGAATACGACTATCTGCTCTCCAATGGTCACCACACTGCCTGCATTTTACACCCTATTCATAAAATGCAGAGCATGGTGTGGAGCCTGCAGTATCCCATTGAGTTCTCTTTGCCTAGAACTCCATGATTGGAGAAAAGACCGATCACATGACTCTTGGGCCCCAAGTGTTTACATTGCCCAAAAAAAGGCATTGCCTATCTCATACTCTGGGGGTCCCACAGAAAAGGTCCAACTTGCTATTATTCAAATAATTGTGTTGCGTTGTGAACCAAAATGTCGCACAACATATTATCCAATATTATCTGTCAACATCTACACAATAATATATTCGATTCCAACTTGCTATTGCTTGTCTCCATTGTCCAATGGTACAGGGTATGTTGGGTTGTCTTTTTATATTGTAATACATCTCTTTCCCGTTTCATCTACAGGTACCTGTGATTTCTGCCCCAGCGTCGCATTTCACCCATCCTCATGTACCTGCGGCCGGAACCTGAACAGGGCTGGTACCCCACCCATGTCCAGGTCACCATCCTAGAAGCCAAAGGCCTTCGAGCAAAGGGAAAACATGACACCAGTGATGCCTACACACTGATCCAAGTAGGCCGGGAAAAGTACAGCACCTCTGTGGTGGAGAAGACTCCCGGTTCGCCAGAATGGAAGGAGGAATGTACTTTCGAGCTGTCCTCGGGAGCCCTGGAGAGGGGGGAGAACTGCGAGCTCCAGCTGACGGTCATGCACCGCGCTCTGATTGGCATGGATCAGTTTCTGGGGCAGATCAGCATACCTCTGCATCAGGTCTTCCAAGAGGGGCGATCTCAGAGGAACCAGTGAGTATTAATGCCAACATTGACGAGTGATGTACTACTCTTCATCCTGTGTGGTCTTCATAATGGGTGTCTGTGTAATATAGAGTGGGTATAAACGCCCTCATTGGGTAGTCAGTGTTTTACCAACTGCTGTAACACCATGTTTCGAGGCTGGTGGACAGTGTGCGGTCAAATTACTTGTACCATTTCTGTAGTACTGGTATATTCTGGGGCATTTAAATAATCTGCCTGTTCAAATGACCAGATTTTGATAAGAACGTATAGACTCTGCTGTTGCTGATCTCTCCTTTTAGAAACGTTGTCTTCTTGGTTCAATGGTTTCTGTACTACTTCAGTAACTGACGCACTAAAAGTAGGGATCGAGGTGCAATGGACTTTTAAATGGGTCCTGAGGGTTAGGGAAGCCCTCTTCACTATCATGGACCTGTTTATTAGGGATATTTTCATGACTGCCTATTGGTTGCCTGCATATGGTGAACTCTGTGTTGTTTTTGTTTAAAGGGCCATATTGATATAATTTAATTCCCTGTAGGCTTGTCACTGTCAAACCACATCGATCGTATCCCTATGTTTTGTTGGCATGCCACCAAATCGCTGTGGCATGCCATTTTGTGGACCGGCTGCTAGGGGTGGTTTAGGGGGCACCACAGGGCATGTATTTATTTTTTGCAATATTGGCAATTCTGCAAAGAAAACAATTCCAACAATTCCACCAAAATCATTCTATGAGGCGGTCTAACTAAGAAGTTGATGGGGACAATTATAGAGCTGCAGCTAACGATTATTTTCATAATCGATTAGTTAGCCGATTATTAAGTTCGATTAATCGGATAAAAAATAAAATACATTTTAAAAAATGGCTCCAGTGATGGGACACAATTACCCCCCCCCCATGACTTGGTTGTTCACCACCTATACCAGAAATATATTGCTTTTTGGTTTGGTCCAACTGCAAGGCACTTTGTACGTGAGACATTTAAAGTTACAAACTAACCAAGAACATGTAATGGTAAGAGGGCAGAAGATATCGAGTGGAGGGACTGACCATGATATGAGGAGGACAGAAGATCTGGAGTGGAGGGACTGACCATGATATGAGGAGGACAGAAGATCTGGAGTGGAGGGACTGACCATGATATGAGGAGGACAGAAGATCTGGAGTGGAGGGACTGACCATGATATGAGGAGGACAGAAGATCTCGAGTGGAGGGACTGACCATGATATGAGGACAGAGGATCTCGAGTGGAGGGACTGACCATGGTATGAGGAGGACAGAAGATATCGAGTGGAGGGACTGACCATGAGCTGTTTACATGCACTAAGTAGACTGGTAAGGACCTGTCATGCACCTAGTATAGAGGCGTCTGAAGAGAAATAGAGGAATACTTGGACTGCCACCAATGACCCTTCTTCTATATGGTACTTGCCTTCTTTAATGCGGATCCCATGAGTTAGTACTTTAGTGTCACCTATGCGAAACACGAGTAAGGTCCGTGCAGGATCACCTGGACAGCCAAGCACCCAGAATGTTCAGAAGACTAGGAGGGTAATGGCCACAAAGAGCGGTTTCCTTAGCTGACTCGCACAGATGAGTAAGCAAGCGGCATAGAGTATGACGAGATGTCACCAATCTATAAATGGAATGTATGGAATGGTGTGGACAGCGGTTGATGCTGTGAAGAGGTAATGAATGGCCGGGGAATATCCTGGAGATGTTAAGCAGGAGAGCACTGAAACCTGCTATGTTGTGGCTGATAAGCTACCCACAGGTTCTGGTTTTGGTAATCTGATCATATATAAAGAAAAAAATGAGTGCTAACATTTGTGTGTCTGCATATTCAGACACTTTAAGTGAGTTTTTTGTAGTTCACTGATGTGTTTTGTTTTGCCCGTTGACCAGCAATATCTGCTATGACCTGCTTGTTCTGTGGTGTGTAGTTGGGTTTTCTGAGCACTCTTGAGTCATGTCCACTATGCCATGTTTTTTGACAACTACAGCCATACTTTTGGGAGAATAAGAGGAGAGGAAGAAGGGAAGACGTTGGGTCCTCCCCGACCCTTTGGTGCTTGCAATTCTTGTGGTTGTCGGGCAATGTCCTGGCCGTATCAGCTCTTCCACGTCAAGCATGGTGTGGCCTGCTGACTCCATCTTCCTATGATGCCTGGCTAGACTAGATGTTGCTTGGAGGAGGTGGATAGTTATGTGCAAAAATGCAATCCCATTGAAGTCTATGGGACCACAAATACACTATGTATCGCCCGCACCTTATTCCAAGTCACACAGCAGCACAACACATAGGTGTGAATGGGCCTCATAGAATATAACGGGTTTCCCGTTTAGGAGATTCTTCAAATAACCACCAAAATATTATTTAAATGTAAAAATTACCCTTTAATGCAAGTGGCACCAGCAAGAGTGAGGAAGACCCCCTGTAGGGTAAAGGTACAATGTAGGACAAGGGAGGGGTGCAACAAATAATATGAAATGAAGGGTCCAGTCTGTCCAGTTCAGGAGCCACCTCCATTGACAACCTCTAAAGTTAGGTGCTGGTTTTAATTTTTAAGAATATTGGCTAACTGGCCTGGGATTTGTCCAGTCCTGAAAGGGGTGATGTATATGTGGAGTATACATGGCCATGGAAGGAGGAGGATAGAATGGCCTGGGGTGGTGAACCAATTTTTTTTTTTTTTGGCATAAACCTAAAAGGTGGAACTTTCTGTCTGTATTGCGTGTGGGAAGACAATTGTAGACCCTTATAGTGATCTTTCATTCAGATAGCCATACATGGATATTGGTTTTCCATGCATCGGGTGATGGCTGTTGTCTTGGTTGACAATCTCTGCTTGGAATCTGTCAAGCCCCTGTAACCCAATCGCGCAGTTGCTCAGCACTGCAATGTGATCCTGTGTGACTTTTGTTTTCAGCAGCCAAGACATAAAGCTTGGATTTGGAGAAGGATTTATGAGGGAAGAGGCCCTGTTTGGACAAGTCTTGGGAGAGAGAGAGTGCGCCTGGTTCATTTTAAGCTCCTGAGAGTAACGCTGACAAACTGGAGCTCGAGATGTATATGATGTACACTAGAGCTTTAGGCTCACTTAAACTTTCAGTTTAAATTGGCTAAATATATTCTAGGGCCATAAAAAGTAGGGATGCACAGATACCGGTATTTCGGTATCGAGTACCTTTTTCTTTTTTTTTGGGGGGGTACTCGAAATCGAGTTCCGATACCAGAAATCCCATTAAGGATGGGATTAGCAGGGAAGCCGTCCCCATGTTTCTCGTCAGGGGAGCATGAAGCCGGCTTTCCGGCCAATCAGAAAGCCGGGCAGCGAGCCATTACACACTGCCGGGCTTCCTGATTGGCCGGGAAGCCGACTCCATCACAAGTGACGAGGGAGCATGGAGCCGCCTTCCCGGCCAATGGGGAAGCCGGGCAGCGTGTAATGACTTGCTTCCTGATACCGGAAGTATCGGGCTAGGCATTGGAGCATTCGGGCAAGTACGAGTAATCGCCCAAATACTCAGCATCGGCACCAATACTGATCCTAGTATCAGTGTATCCCTAATCAAAACAAAAAGCGTGCAAATCCTTACAGTTCATTTTCTTTAGAAAGCAGCCACAGTCTGAGTAAAAAAGCCTGTCCCCTGCCAGCATGCTGCAGAGAAGGACTGTTGATCTCTCTGTCTAAGACGACTACATGCCCCCTGTTGGCTCAGACCTCTGCAATCGGCAAAGCTTGTCCCTAGCCCTGACTTGGCAGGGGGCATGCGGGCAAACTTACCTCAGTGAGACCGGCTCCACCCAAAGACACGCTGTCAGTCCCAGCCCACTGTCATCTACAGTGCACCATTGAATTAAATGTGTACCTGCTGCCCAGAGTTTTATGTGTGCTTTAAACGAAGGCCAAAGGCAGGAAAATGCCCATCTGCGCCCTCCTTCTCTCCCTCTATTCTTCCCTGGTTATTGTGAACAGGCCCTTCTTATTTGCCTGGCACCCATCCACCATAGCCCTCAGTCTCTCCTGGGCCTACTTGTGGTTGATCTTTAGGGTATAAATAGCCTTGGAGGGCATTCAGCTGCCAAAGCAGCCATTGTTCCCAGAATCCTTTGCAGCAGTTTCCTGCTTTCCTTGCTCATGTTCTAAATGAGACTTTGCTTAAGCGGGACCTTCAATTTTTTTTATTTTTGCTAATGGGAGTTTCTGAGTCTTTTCAGGACTAGGCCTGGGTGCAGATATTTTATGAACAAAGGAAAACAAACATTTCATTTAATCGCCTCTTCAGCCTCCCGGCCATGTTTTCTCCTGACTGTCAGATGTGTGCTGCTGGCTCAGGAAGAAAACAGATCGATGCCAGGACAATCTATTTTGGTCTTTGGTTATTTATGACGACAGGGCACAGCGGCGTGCTGCCTGGTATGCCTGGCTTGCACAAGCCTGTGTTCCTTACAGAGACTGCTGAACCATTCTGTGCCCTAAGCCAGTATTTATGACCGTGCAGTCTGACAATGTGGTTGGACACGCTGATTGCACCAAGGCACAGTACGGTCAATGTGGGGCCACCCACTTTTTTGGGGCTGTAGGTTTGTTTAGCTGACAAAATGACCACAGCAACCCTAGTAAATACAGGTGAAGGTCCAACTACAGCCAAAACCTATCTTGTCTTGGCATAGGGAAGGCTTATATTTTGTTTACCATTTGTGTCTGGGGTTTGAACCAAATCTGAGCTCTTCCAAACATGGAAAGAAGCTCCTTCTACTGCCACCTACCGTGTTTCCCCGAAAATAAGACACGGTCTTATATTTTTTGGGGCTCAAAAAAACACACTGGGTCTTCTTTTTGGTGTAGGTCTTATTTTTTCTTTTTTTTTTAAATGTACAACAATCCCCACTTATTCATGTAGAAAAATATGGTGATCAGGGCAATCATGGGTGCCGTACCTTTCCAAGAGCAATTTGGTAACCAATCGCTGGCCAGAATGAGCGAAGCGCACTTTCAC